CCCCCCAACCGCCTCGCAGGTGCTCATGCCCGGCGAGATGCCCCTGGGCGCCCAGCCCCCCAGCACCGCCTAGGCTGGCCCTGCGCCATGCCCACACGGCATCTTGCCTGTGCGGCGCCTTCCCTGGGCCGCTGCTGGGTTGCAAGGTTGACATGCACCGACAGCACCGGCCCGGGGCCCCCTGTGGCGGCGCCAGCCAGCGGTTTGACATTTCGCCGCCGGCCAGCCCACGCAGAGGCCCGCCACCGCTTACACAAAGCCAGTTGTACAGAGACTGCTGCACGCGGCAACGGCGGCGCCCGGAGCGCCAGCCGGCGGCCGTGCGCCGCCGCTCTCGAGTGTTATCGGGAGCGCGCAGCTGGCCTTGGGAATGAATGTGCGAGGCCGCACCAGACGGCTAATGATTCCTGATTTCTAGCAAAGTGTCCTACATTTTGTTTCCATATTGTCACACCGTTCCGCGTGTAAGCTCTGCGCCATCCGCTCGAGAGGTCGGGAAGGGAAAAGGGATTCACACACACACAGCCGCAGCCATAAAGCCACTCCACACACCCTATTGCCGCCACCAGGTCACAGGCAGGGCTGTGAGGCAGGCGCTGCGTGCCGGCATGTCCCCATGCCAACGGGACGTGGCGCAAGTGGTTTACCATGCTCTGCTCGCCTCAAGGGAATGGCTGCTGCCATGGTCCATGCCTGTGTGGCATTGCCAGGTTCAGCTGGACCTCTGCTGCCGAAAGCTGGTGATATCGAGCGGTCCGCGCTGGTCCGCGCTCCGCCACGTGGCATTCTTCTTGGCTTCGCCCCCCCGACATGTCCTGAAGGTGCTGTTCCGCTGGTTTCATGACCACTGGCCCACCATGAGCGTCTCGTCCCGCGCGCTGGCCGTTCTGCTGGTGCTGGGGTGCGCGTCCCTACCAACGCGATGCGACCCGCTGGAGGACTCGGTGACCCAGTGAGTGGCTGTTACTGAACCCTGAGCGCCAGCAGGGCACCCTTGGGCTGGCAGCGACAGGGTCCTGCCGAAGACGGGCCATGCCCCGCCCGGCTGCCGCCGCCATGCATGCCCTCTCCCGGCGACGCCCGCTCACCACCCGCCTCGCCCCTCCCCCCCGTATGGCAGGGAAGTGGACAGCCAGGACGACTGCATTGCGACGCCTGCAGAGTATGTGGCAGCATTTGCGGCGCGGGCCCCTCGCTGCGTGTCTTCTGACCTGGTCGGCCGCGTCAGCAGCGGCGCCAGTGTGGCCGCCGCCCAGCTCTCCGACGCCTCCTCCCGCCTCAGCTACTTCTTCAGCGGGTCGGACGTGCTGGCCAAGTACCTGCGCATCGGGTACCCACAGGTGAGGCCCCCGGGAGGCGGAGGAGGCCGGCCGGCTGGCTTGGCTGCCTTGGCTGCCTGGTAGCCTCCTGCCCCCTACTTGCCTGTTGTTGTTCCACCCCGCCCCCGCCCCTCCTGCTCCCTGCGCAGGTTGTGGGGCTCTCCACGGTGCAGAACGCCACGGGGCTGGCCACCAGCAGCAGCGGGCTGGCCTTCCTGCAGCAGGTCGGCTACCAAATGGAGTTTGCCGACGTCTCCAAGGTGAGCCAGGGGTAAACCCGGGAGCGCGCATAGGAGGCCTGGGAGGACGGCACTTTCAAGTGGACGGCACTTCCGCGGCCTCAAGGCCTGGCAGCGCTTGTCAGGACCTGTTGCTAGTCTCCCCTTGCCGGGCCCGCACCCTAACCTGTGCCCCCCTCCCTCCCTGCCGCCGCGCCTGCCCCGCAGGCGTACGTGCTGACGGTGACGACGCGGCAGGCGCTGGAGGCGGCGGCGGGGGGCGCTGCAGGACGGGCTGCCGTACCGCGGCGGCGTGCCGCCGCTGGCGCCCACCTGGCGCGCCCTCCGCGCCTACTTTGAGTTTGTGTTTGAGGCAGAGAACCTCACCCTCAGCGACACAGCGCTGGCCATCCTGCAGGCCACCTCTTTGCTCAGCTCACGGGCTGCCCCGCGCAGTGCGCCTACACCGACCCGCTCTTCCCCTCCGCCAACCACACCACCCCCATCACCGTCGACGACCCCGCCGCCAACGCCTCCTGCACCGCGCCCTACCCGGGCACCCAGCAAACGCTGTCCTCCGGGTTTGCCACCTCCAGCAGCCTGTGCGACGCAGACTGGAATGAAGCAATGGTGAGCTGGCCCGCGCTGGCGTCGGTGCCGTGCTGCGCTGTGCTGCCGCTGGGGCGCCTGGCTGTGCCTGGCTGGGCTGGGCTGTGGTATGCGCAGAGTTTGCCTTGCACGCTGCCGGCGGCTTGCACCTGGTGCACCCGACTCACCCCGCCCTGGCCTGCTGCTGCCCCCTCACCTGCCACGCCTGCAGTTGGCGGCCTCCGGCCTCTTCCCCGTGCGTGACTGCAGCAGGGAGCAGAATGCGGCGGCGGGGGCGGGGCTGGCGCAGCTGCTGGCGGCCGCGGAGGGCAGCCCGCGCTACCAGGCCCAGCTCTTCCGCGCCTTCCTCATGCAGTACTGCGTTGGCGGCTACTATGCCCTGTTTTCGGGCGACGGCATCACCTACAGCAGCTTTGGCGGCCTGCTGACGCCGCTGGGCACCGAATACGTCAGCTCTCCCTTTGTGGTGGGAGCCCTCCAGCCCGCCGACGTGGCCACAGTGGCGCTGTGCATCTCGGGCACCAACAACGGGCGGCCCGCCGCGGCGGGCAGCTGCCTGCTGCCGCAGGCCCCGGTGGCGGTAGCGGCTGCGGCGCCCGCCGCCGCACGCAGGCTGCTGCGGGTGCGCGGCCCGGCCTGACTCGGCCGTCGGGGCCCCGTGATGTGTTGTATTGCAAGACTTGAGAGTACTCTTGAACAGGCCTTTTTGTGATGCCACGTTCCTTTCTTCACCCTCCACAACCGCTTTACGTTGCCGCACCTGGTCAGTAACCCTTGCCCGTACCTGCACATTGCAGTTGTCTCCCTCTGTATGCACATGCACCTCCTCCTTCTACCCATTCCTGCTGTAACTCGTATTCAAACGAGCCTGTCGACACAGAGAGGCCAGGCACATTGAGCAGCGATACAGCGGCAGCAATTCAGCCGACTCTGCCGCCAACTTTCCAGCCTCTCATTCCATTGGGCGCATGTGCTGTCTACTGATGCTTGTTTTTTTTTACAATTTGTTTTCACAGTTCAGAGGATGCAGTGTGCTTCTCTCGCAAGGGCAGACCCGAGATGCCGGCGGCGCTACCGCAGAACGGGGCACACGCTGGCACTGTATCCAGGGTTGGTTGCAAAAGTGGGTCCGTTGAAGCTATGGGCTCTCCAGAGGGGTGGGGTGAGGTGGGGCGCTCCAAAAGGGGCAATCAAAAGGGGGTCAGGGGTATGGGGACCCGCCATCGGGCACTGCGCACGCTACACGCGGCGCAGATGGGCCCGGGCACAACGTTGAGATCTACCTACCTGCCTGCCAGCGCAGCCGGCAGCACATCAAAGCACAGGCCTGCACTACTGCCGCCTTGGCTGGCAGGACAGGTACTGATAGGGGTCCTTGCAAGGTGGTGCATCAGCAGAGGTTGGGTGAGTTTGGGGCAATCGGGTTCAGGTTCAGACTTCGGCCCCGACGGTGGAGGCATCCTCCTTGGGAAGCTTGCAATGGAACACGTCTGTTGGTGGAAGGGCAGGAGAGGCGAAGCGGCATGTGGCTGCCAGGCATACATGCAAAGCGCGCGGCGGGCGGAGGCACGGCGTTCCTGCGGCACACGCACAGCTAGCAGCACAGCACCACAGGCAGCCAGGCCAACTCACATGGGGGCAGCATCTTGGCAAGGTCGACGCCGAAGCACCTGCAGCGCAAGTTTGGAGCGCGCAGAGGCAGCAGCTGCGTCAGCACCGGCTGGCAGCGGCGTTGCGCTGGCAGCAGGCGGCGCCACCGGGCGCCTGGCCATGCCACCGGGCGGCAGCAGGCCACGCCGCACACTCACATCTCCTTGGGCAGCTTGCCCTTCTCCTTGCGCTTGGGGGTGTCCACCGTGCACAGGGCGCACTCCTTGTGGGCCTCGCACTCTGGGCCCTTGAAGCTCTCGCAGGGCACCCAGGGGGCGGGCTTGGGGGGCGCCTCGGGCTCCTCGGCCACGACGGCGTTGGCGCTGTCGGCCTCCTCGCCCTTGGTGCACTTGAAGACGACTGCAGGGGTGAGGGCGGGCAGGGGTGCAGGGGAGGGAGATGAGAAGGAATGCGAGGAGGCAACGGGAGTGCGGCGCAGCATAGGGCAGGCTGGCAGGCAAGTCCTGGCTGGGCCGCATCAGCAGAGCAGCAGCGCAAGTGGCAGCAGCAGGGCAGCAGGGCAGCCGCAGCGGACTGGCAGGCAGGCTGGCGGGCGGGCAGGCAGGGCAGGCGGGCTCACAGGGGGGCAGCTTGGAGGCGATCTTGTCGGAGAAGCACATCTCGTCGCCGGTCTTCTCCTCGGCGCACAGGGAGCAGCCCTTGGCAGTCTTGCAGGCGGGCGCCTTGAGCATCTCGCAGACCTCCCACGGCTTGGGCTTCTTGTTGTCCTCGCTGGCCTGCTCAGCCACCTCGTTGGCGGCGGCCTCCTGCTTCACCTTGGAGCACTCAAAGATGACTGCGGGCGTGCGCGGGCAATGGTTGGGTTTGCAGGAGTGAGAGGCTGAGCTCACCGCAGGCATGGGCAGCGGTGGGAGCAGGGCGCGAAGGCCGTCACAACAGGTAGGCTGGCAGGGCAGGCCCAGCGGGGCGGGGCACGCTCGCAGGATTGCGGCTCACAGGGAGGGAGCGTGGAGGCAATCTTGGGGTCGAAGCAGAGCTCCACACCGCTGGTCTTCTCCTTGCACAGCGAGCAGCGGTCCTTGTTGTCGCCACACTCGGCGGGGCCGTAGGTCTCGCAGACCTCCCAGGGGGCGGGCTTGGCCTTGTTGCTGTCCTCATCAGCCTCCTCGGTCTTGACCTCTGAGCACTTGAACACGACTGCAGGCCAGGAAAAGCGCGCAGGAAGAGAGGGCAAGTCATGACACTGGCGACGTTTGAAGAGCAGCCCGGCGGACAGTGAACAGCGAGTGCCAGATGGCAAACAGCACACATGGCAGGCAGGGCCAGCAGCCAGCTGCAGAGCAGCAGAGCTGCCTGGCTGGCGACGTTTGAAGAGCAAGCCCGGCGGACAGTGAACAGCGAGTGCCAGATGGCAAACAGCACACATGGCAGGCAGGGCCAGCAGCCAGCTGCAGGGGCTCACAGGGAGGGAGCTTGGCGGCGACATGGGGGCGGAAGCACAGCTCCTTGCCGCTGGTCTTCTGCTTGCACAGCGAGCAGCGGTCCTTGTTGTCGGCGCACTCGCCGGGGCCGTACATCTCGCACACCTCCCAGGGGGCGGGCTTGGCCTTCTTGTTGTCCTCGTCGGCCTCCTCAGCCACCTCGTTGGCGGCAGCCTCCTCAGTCTTGACCTCTGAGCACTTGAACACGACTGCAGCGTCAAGGCACAACAGCCTCAGAGCACCAGGTGGAAGATCCAACGGCATCCCCTGTGACTCACAAAGCTGCACCAGAAGGGCCCAGCGGCAACAATGGCAGCACAGGGTAGCGCAATGGCCGCAGCAGGCGCCACGGCTCACAGGGGGGCAGCTTGGTGGCCACGGAGGGGCGGAAGCACAGCTCCACGCCGCTCATCTTCTCCTTGCACAGCGAGCAGCGGTCGCGGTTGTCGGCGCAGGCGCCGGGGCCAAACGGCTCGCAGGCAGACTTCTTCTTCTTGTTGTCGGCCTCGGCGGTCTCCTCCAGGGGGCCGTTGCGGCGGCCCAGCACCTTGCCCTCGTCAGCAGACGCGCCCTTGCACTTGAAGATGACTGCAGGGCCGGGGCAGGACGGCAGGCACTTTGCAGCCGGGCTGCGCAGCACGCACCATGCCTGCCTCCAGCAGCAGCAGCAGCTCGCAGGACTTCCCGCGCCTGTGGGCAAACAGCAGCAGCAGCAAACAGCATGTGCCTGCCTAGCAGGCGTGCGCGGGCTCACAATCGGGGAGCTTGGAGGCGATCTTGGGGTCGAAGCACAGCGCCTTGCCGCTGGCCTTGTTCTCGCACAGGGAGCAGCGGTCCTTGTTGTCGGAGCACTCGCCAGGGCCGTACATCTCGCAGACCTCCCAGGGGGCGGGCTTGGCCTTTTTGTTGTCGGCGGCGTTGGCGGGTGGCTCGGGCTGGGGGCCGCCCTCGCACTCAAAGATGACTGCAGCACAAAACAGCAGGCGTACAGAGCAGCAGCCGTGTGAATGCTGAATGCACCGACCTGCACAAGCCAGGCCGGCCACTGCACCATAGCAGGCAGGGGCAACCGAGCATGGGCGGGTCCCGCCGCACACCCGCCCTAGCCCTGCGCCAGGGTTTCGGAAGGCGAGTCGCACTCACAAGAGGGCAGCGCCTCGGCGATGGTGGGCTCAAAGCAGAGCTGGGCGTCGGGCAGGAAGGTGTTTTTGCAGAGGGAGCAGCGGTCGCTCTGGGCAGCGCACTCGGCGGGGGCCAGAGCTTCGCAGACCTCCCAGGGCTCGGGAGTGATCACGTCAACATCAATGCGGAAGGGAGCGACGGCCAGGCACCCCAGCGGCAGAGCCGCGGCCACCAGCAGGATGGCAAGCTTCATCGTGCTGTGGTGGTGGGGGGGGGGGAGGGGGGAGGGGCTCTGAAGGGGCTGTGTGCCGTCGGCAGGGCGGCTGGTCGAATGCAAGGACAAAAGAAGTAGGGTGGGGGCGGCCCCCGAGCCGATCTGTCCCAGGCGGCCGGAGCACGTGCGGCGCGGCCAGCCAGCTGGCGCTCCTCAAAAACGTGTATGCCACCAGCGGGTCAGATGATGTGAAGGCCGCTTGGTGGGTTGGCCTTGCTTGGGCCCCGCAAGCTCTTGCCTCTGGCAAGCTCTTGCCCCTGCCACGGCATGCATCCTCTGTAGTGGAGGGAGGGCTGCCTGCAGGTTTGTGGGGTGCAGTGCAGGCAAGGATGGAACATGTAAGGCCTGGTGAAGTTCAATTGGGCAGGTGGGAGGGGCGGCAGGCAGGGGTAGTTGGCAACCGCCGCTTCTCGCCGGTTCCAACCAGCCCAGTCCAGCGGTAGCGCCCGAAATCGGGTGGCACACTGGCAGAACGGCGGCGGCACGTGGAGGGTGGCCTGTCCGGAACATGTTGCCTTGCATGCTTGCACAAACATGGTCCGACACATGGCTGGAGAGGGTTCCACGGGTGCACCAGCGCAGTCCCAAGCTCTCCTCGCCGCGGTGGCGACTTGGTAAGGGCAGAGCGCACACCACCGGGTAAGCGCTGGTGTAGGCGTTCCAACAGGAATCACTGGCTTGATTTCTGGCTGGCCGTGCGGCAACCAGGTGCTGGAACCCCTCAAAAGGGAAAATGGGCAAGGCATACTGACTGACTGACGGAGATTACAAGACGGCACCGCCACAAACCTTGCCCTCCCAGTTGCACTGCCTGTCTGTGCGGGCTGCTTGGCGGACCAATTTTGAGCGCACACAGCTCAGGACATGCTGTAAGACATGCACACATGGTTTGCACGGCTGTAAGGCCGCACACACCAACAAAACTCTCTCGCGCCTCGTTACCGCCGGCAGCGGCCGGGAGAAGGCGGCGGCACCTTGCTTGCGCGCCGTCGCCGGCATCGGGCCGTTGCATCTGCGCTTCTGCCACGCCGTTGCAAGGCCAATGCAGCGCCTGGCGACCCTTTTTAGCGGCCTGCCGTGATGCCACACTTGGGATCGTTCCATCCACAGGTGGAGCCTGCTGGCTGCTACATCCATTGTCCTCTCTGCTTCCCTCCGATTAGCGGAACAGCCCCAATTCCTCCACCTCCTTCTCGGTTGGCCCTGGACGGAGCCCTCCCTGGAAGCGCTCGCTGCTGCTAGTTTGCAGCAGTGCTTCACCCCGCTTCTTTACAGCTCACAAGCTCGCTGAGGTTCGAGGGAAGCCGGCTGGGGCTGTGCACGCCAGCCGAAAGGTTTTTTTGCAGGCCGCGGTCACCTGCGGTCGCTGCTGGCTGCCAACGCCCCAGCATGGTCGCACCTACGTCTGGAACCGACTGAAGGGCTACCACCCTGCGCCACCACCCTGCGCGCAGACGGAGCCAGCCTCGGAGCCATGCCTCCGCCGCCGTGCACCGCCGGCGCCACGGCACATGTGCTCCTGGTGTTGGTGGCCGGCATCTGTGCCCTGCAGGCCTCCGCATCTGACTACGTCAAATATGACTACCTCCCATTCCGCGCCCCTGGCGGGTGCACGGAGCTGCCTATCGATTACCTGAAAATCAGCTTGGAGGAGGAGGTGAGGCGGGTGCCCATAATGCGGTTGCGCCCTCAACGTGTGCTCCCATTCCGCACGATGTGCTGGAATGTGCTGCAATGTTCCCTCAGCACGGCGCACACATGAGTGCTGCAAGGATGGAAGCAACGCCATGGACTGTTGTGGGCCGGGGGCTCTTCTGCCTCCCACCCACTCCCAGCATCTCCTACCTCTGCCACAGATTGTCAGGGCCAAGCGTGACTGCGCCTCGTTTGGCGCTGGCTGGGCCTGGAACCGAACCGTTACTATTACATACCGCAGATTTGACAACCCGAATCGCACGCACTATTTGCAATACTGCGGTGTCTGCCAGCCCGGACTCGAGGACTGTGTGCTCAAGTGGTGAGCACCCCTTCGAATTCGGGCTGGCTGATGTGCGCTCAGTTGGAATGCCCACCGCCACTTCCCCTGAATTGCATGCACGTCTGAGATGCCCTCTGCCACAACCGTTGAGCCCGCCCCACCTGCTACGCACCCTTGCCATCTCGCAGGTTTGGCACCGGCCCGAGATGCAAAGGCCAATGCCCCGCCGGTTGGAGCCCTGTGGCGGACAGCGCCGACGTCAGCGCCTTCAGTATTGGTTACCCTGTAGGCCCCTTAGTACTACTACCCAGCAGCCCTACCCTTACTTTGGGGAACAATGCAGTTCGGGCAGCAAGGTGTTGTGCAAGCTGTGCGGGCGCAAGGAATGCAACGGCTGCACATACAGCTGGTGAGCGGCGACGCTGGTGTGTGTGGCTCATGCTCGTGCGACGGCGAGGCCCAGCCAACCGCTGCGCCTCCCTGCCTCGTATACGCCACCTCGTGCTGCTACAGGCGAGGCACTGCACCCAGCTGCTACGACACCTGCGAAAAGGGCGAGACGGTGGTGGCAACAGACACATACGGCGACGGCGCGGCGTGCAGCATTGATGGCTACGGCCACAAGTTTCTGTGCGAGGTGCGCCCCGCTCAACGTGCTTGACGCGCCACCTTGGGAGCCTGCGGCCGCTGCCGTCGTTGCCGGCTCACGCTTGCAACCGTTGTAGATGTGCAGAAGTGCGCGTCGACAGTATATGACATGAGGCAGTGCTCCGCGCCCAGCTATTGGCAAGGGTCTGCTTGGCAGTGTGAAGGTGGGTGCAGCGGCACGTTGTACAACGTTGCAACTCAAAGGCGCGCGGTGGGCATGCCCGCGGCTGCGTTTTGCTGCCCACTCCGCCCGGTGCCATGTAGCACTGCGGGATGCAGGGCGGCAACGCCAACTGCAACAGCTGTTATCAGCTGCCACTCGCGAAGGCGCCAGCAAGATGCAGCACTATGCCGATGGTGTGTGCGGCGGCCAGCTGGATGCCGCCAGCCTATGCATGCGAGCCCCCTACATCGATGTGGTGCGGGAACGCTGCCGGCGCGAGGCGCTGGCGCAGCTGCGCACTGGCTCTCATTGGGGCGCAGAAGAGACCGGCCGGTGGCTGGGCCTGCCACGCGAGCAACGGCGCTGCCCGCACTGCAAGGGTGACATTGAGCATACCACACACATTATCTTTCATTGCCCCCTGTATGCCAGTGTCCGACAGCGCTTCTCTGACCTGTTTGACACCACACACACAAGCCTGCACACCTTCTTCCAACAGCCTGCCCCCCGCCTCGCCAGTTTTGCTGCTGCATGCAAGCGACTGTGGCTCGACACCCCCCTCCCCCCCACACAGTCCCAACCATCTTCCACCCTACTTCCCACACCCTTGCAACTATAGCTTTCCTTTTGGTCCCACTCTCCTTTCGCTCAACGTTGCTTTTCCGTTTCAATTTCTGTGATGTTACAGAGGCAATGCCCATTAATGGGCTGGGGGCACACAAGCCGTGCCCACTAGCTCTGGACTGTATGAAAGCATGCAATACCGCCCGGGCGGCAAAGGGCGGGCTCAGGGAGCGGTCGGGCGCAAAGGGCGGGGAGGGAGGCGAGGGGCGCCTGATGGCCAGCCCAAGGGCGGCAAGCATACCAGTGGGGGGGAGGGGCAGGTCGAGGACCCGCACACCACCACCACCAGAAAGCGGGCCCACCCACCCCGGCACAGTAGCTGGGAGAGCGGCCAGGCGGGCGGGCGGGGGCCGCAAAGGTGAAGGCGGCACGCGGGAAGACCGGGCACGGGGGGATGGGGCAAGCGCAAAAGCGCAAGCATCTGCGGGTTACGGGGGGGAGAGTAGGGGCGTGACGACCAGAACGGCAGGCACGAAGAGAGCGTAAAGAGGGGGGGACGGCGGGCCGCCAGTCACGCGGCGGCGGCAGCAGCAGCAGCGGCCTGCCCGAACGCAAATCGCTCGGCGGCAACAGGCTCCTCCGCCAAGCCACGCCACCCCACGTCTCAATTCGCTGAAGGGAAAGCACCAGGGCTTGGGGCCGCGACACACGGAAGCGGGAATTGGGGGGAGGGGCTGGCGCGCACAAAACGCGTCGTAGGGGGCGAACAAGTCGCAGAGGGGGTGGCCGGGCACCAACGGGGCACACGGGGGCTCATACAACGGGCCGGGAGCCGGCACCGGCCCGAGGGGGTGTTCGCCGGACTAGCCGAGCCGCGGGCGCCGCAGGGCCCGGGGCACCCCTCCACGCACCATCAGGAGGCCATCTCGAGTGCGGGCAGTTGCAGAATGGGCGGCTGGCGGGCCAAGCGAGCCGGCGATGCTGCGGTCGCCCTCGTCCTGCGTCCCCAAGGCAGGGTGTTGCTCAAGAAGGGCCCCAGAGGAGCGGGAGGGGGGTGCGGGGTGACACTGACTGACTGAGATTACAGAGAACCGGGCCCTTTAAAGGGCTGGGGACACACAAGCCGTGCCCACTAGCTCTGGACAATATAAGTATGAAACCAACCAACAGACAGGGCGGCGGAGCGCGGGGCTGCGAGGAGCCGATCGGGCACAGCGGGCGGCAGGGAAAGCGGAGGGTGCCTGGGAGCCAGCCCAGTGACTGTCAGAGAGTTGTGA